GTTATCTCTACAACAATAACAAATAATATTTTGACTACAGAGATCATGTGAAAAACACGTGTTATTGTGTGTTGTGTATTGTGCTATTTACTGCCACCTATTGGTGTGTGTATGCTAGGTACCCAGTGGGGGTGGCATAGAACTATAATAATACAAGGGGAGGAAAATGTTCAGCCTCTCTGAGTAGTTGTTAGTTGTTTTAGTTTTAGCCACTATGTAGGTTTTATGGGCTACGTAGTTGTAACAAAGTACCAAGTAGCGTACCTCTTCTCTAAGAGTTTGTAGCTAGAGATTTTGTTAAGCTTGTGTTGCTAATAAGTCTTGGATGCTACATTAAATGAGAAGATGTGTTTTTCTTTATATTTTGTATGATATTTGCATTTTATGGAATTTTGCATTTTTATCAATAAGATATTTGCATTTTATGGAATTTTGCATTTTTATCAATAAGATATTTGCATTTTATGGAATTTTGCATTTTTATCAATAAACACCAGTTAGTATATATTTTCTGACTGGATTTCTTTGGGAAACAAGAAATGGACATTGCATTGTGTTTGCTGTCATGGCTAATATTTTCCTGGAGTTTTTGCTGCGCTCTGCACAAACAGGAGTGTTTGTGATTATCACTCTGCCCGACACCAAAATCCATGTGTTTCAATCCCCGCCCCACAAATAGTAAAACTAAATGAAGCTCTATAAAGTTATCAGCGTTGCAGAATAAAAGAAAGTCTGCATTCTGCCCATTTGCATAACCCAATAGGTTGCAGAATTCTGTACTACCACACTCCGGACCGTGGATCACTTTCATTTTATTTTAGCGTGGCGCTCTCGTTGGGAAACCTGATAAAATGACATATTTTAGCTTCATAGACAGCCTACATCAATACTTCAGAATGATTGCAAACAATTTGCCCTGCTTTAGGGATATGATGGCTGGTTTAAAAAAGGGGAGGGGGGTTTTGTTTGCCTAGTTAGTACCTGGATAACATCACAAGGAAATCCCAAGGGTGAAGGCTGGAATGGGAAGTTGGAATTCGTAATGGCTACTCCCAAGAAAGCTGCAGGCCTTGATCCGTGTAGTCATCAGGAGCCACGTGCAGTTCAAAGGCACATTACCTTGTTTCTGTGCTGCAGGCTGCAGTGAGGTGTGGAAATGGGCAGCCACGCTTAATGCTTTTACCGAAGCATTGAGAGCATCTACACATCAGGTTGATGCTGAAACAGGAAAACTCAGGTTATGCTTGCTTGGGCAGCCTGTATGCTAAAATTGGAACAATGCAGAGCAGATTAGCATGGCCCCTGTGCAAGGATGGTGTAGGGGGCTTGGGTGGAGCAATTGGCCTTTTAGGGGGCCTTCCAAGGGCTCTTAAATGAGCGCAGGGCAAAGGAGTGAGCACAGCCAGGACTAAATTTGATTTAAATTAACTGTAATTAAAATTATAAATTAAATGCAGTTAATGCTATTCCTCCCTATGTATTTCATCATTCATCCCTGTTTGGCCACATTAAAAATTCAAGATTTGTTCTTAAAGCAGGAAGCAGCATACAAATTTTCTAAATTACATTCAGTGGCAGCATTTTGAGTGTGCTGTACTGAAGTCTTAAAGGCACAGGAGCAGATAAAGACCTTTCCTTTTTCTGATCATCTTGCAGTCAGTCTCAAATAGATGTTATCGTGAGTTTTCCAGTATTTCCATGCTCACTGAAGATTTGATCAGGGAATCCAGTGAAATCTGAACAACTGGCTGGGCCGCATTGGAATTAAATCTTGTTTTGTGCAGACATAAATAAAGAATTAAAGACTGAGATTAAAGATGGTAGGGAAAAGATAGAAGATTTTTTCTTTCTTTTAGATGTTTTGTAGTTTTAAATGACATTTCATTGGACTTAACGAAGTTTATCTTAACTTACTTCAAGGGCCCTTTTTCATGCAAATTCTACACTCTTGTTTAAGCCAGTAGAATTTCCTAGTGATGAGTCCTGTAATTCAAAATTAGCTCACATCTGTCTTTGTACCTTCTAAGAGAATAAATATAAAAATAGACCTGAATTTGCATTTCTGTATATTCTACTCTTTTTCCCCTCCCCACTACAAAAACGAGATTTTTTTAAAAAAAAAATCAGTGTCTCCAGGCTATGATTAAATGAGATTATTAGGGCTGGGTAAATTTTGCTGCATGATTTTATCTGTCAAAGTAGCACCTATTTGCAGTTTGCAAAAAATCTCTGGAGAAATAAATGTATCGGTGTTCCAGCTAGAGAAGAATGATGTGGGCAGGGGGATATTTAATCTTGGCTTTCTTGACATCAGTTTAGCAGTCGGCAGCTTCCAAGTCATTTAGAGCAGGGTTCCTCAACCTCAGCAACTTTAAGCTGTGTGGACTTCAACTCCCAGAATTCTGGGAGTTGA